GACAATCTCACTAAATTGTCCAGGCTGGCCTTGACTTATGGATCCTCCTGCCTCAGTTTCCCAAGTAGCTGGAATTATAGACATGAGCTATCACATCCAGCTCAGACAGGGTCTTTTTCCTTTGTCAGAATAATCCTCTGAAGGCTGGGCCAAGCACTTCAATCAGGAAACAGATGCCTGCCATTCGGCACATATAGTATGGTTCCAGCAAAGATAATGAGCAGCAGAGTAAGATACAGGTCATAAACCCCAGCCAGCCCTACCACTTACAATGATATTCCAAGTAGACAATCTAACATCTCTGCCTCAGTTTCTCTTTTGTAAAATGGTCTCATGACCACCTAGCCTATGTGTTCTAAGAGCTTACATCGGGGCAATAGTACAGAACCTAACACCTAAATGATGGCTACACATGTGAGTTTCTCGTCTGTCTTGCCCCCACAGTTCAGTGTATATCACCTGACTCCAGGTCCCTTCACAGATGGTGAGGAGAGCCATGATGTCCACCAGTATTTCTCTGCCATGGTAATGCTGAGGGTGAAAACCACATCATCTCCCAAAGAACCTGGTTCTCATGATTTTCCATCTTCAAAGAAAACTAAGTGACTGGCCTTTTCATTTTGTTGTGCAGAAATGAATACTGATGCTTTCCCTTGATATTTAACATGGCCCAATGTGTCATGGCTACATTTTAATGGGGGAGAAAAATCAGAAACAAAGAAAATATTGAGTTTTTTCAGTAAATATGTTTGGGAAAGAGAGAATGCAAAGCAAAAGCTTTTTATGTGAGTCAGCGGGCCTGCTGGATTGAGATCATCAAGCTATGCAAACATAAGCTTTCTGGAAGGCAAAGGGGATTCCTGAAATAATCAACTTTCCTCACTGGTCAAATTTGACACCTGCTCCTAAATTCCTTACCCTCAACCCAAATAGTGACTCTGCATATTCAGTTGTGGGTTTTTTGGGTTTTTTTTTTTTTTTTGTATCGGGGGAGTGAATCCTGGGGTGCTCAACCACTGAGCCACATTCCTAGCCCTTTTCTGTATTTTATTTAGAGACAGGGTCTCACTGAGTTACTAAAGGCCTCACTAAATTGCTGAGACTGGCTTTGAACTTGCAATCCTCCTGCCTCAGCCTCTGAATAATCCTGGGATTACAGGCGTTTGCTACCACGCCTGGCTCAGTTGTGTTTTTATGACAGGAAAGGACGTCATCTGCATGAAGTCTCCTGCACGATGTGACTCAACAATAGGTCACATACCAACTCTGTTGTTGTTATTTGGGAATTACGTTGCATGTTTTACATGCCAAATGCCCTCCAATCATTTTTATTAGTCTGTGCAACAACATTCTTAAGGATGGATCATTGTTTCTATTTTGTAAGAAGCATGAAAAGGTCAAGTGATTCACCTAAGGTTACAGCAGTAAAGGAGCTGTGAGACATGGGAGAGGCTGCTACACAGCTAGGATCCTAGTCCCTCCCCAGTCCAAGAAAGGCAAGTTGTGTAGCATGTGCATACATCTATTTTTAATTCTTGTTTCTTCCCACTGCATGGTGTGACTGGATGTGAAAAATAAGATATATTTCCTCTGCCACTAAAAAGGAATCTTCAAGAATTTTCCCCATTTAAAGGAAAGACCAACAGAAAAACTGGACCTCTGGTCAATGCCTCTAACACCTTCTCTGCTACAACTCTCAATCCCAAATTGTAGATAAGACAAAATAGTATGAAAACTGGTCCTGCAATATGAGCTGTTTCTACCCCAGAACTCTCAAAATGCCTCTTAACACATAATTCTTTTCTATTCAACCTGAGATTAATACCATGACTGGAGCATGACTGTGCTATTTATGATCAGAGACTGTGGGAGGGTTGCCACCCTGAGGAGGTCCATTAACCTATGGTCCTTTGGAATTCTCAAAATGAGCATGGACATGAGCACATTTAGGGTTTACCAAAGCTCACTGGGGAAGAAGGCTGTGTATTTTACAAGCACCCCATGTAAAATGTTTCTGGAATTGTGCACACTAATGCAGCTACTCAGGAGGCTGAGGCAGGAGGATCACAAATTCAAGACCAGCCTGGACAACTTGGCAAGACCCTGTCTCAAAAATAAAATTGAAAATATAAAAAGGGCTGGGGACATAGCTCAGTGGAAGAAAACTATTGGGTTCAATCCCCAGTACTAAGGGGGAAAAAAATGTTTCCCAGAATAGGCATTCAAGAGTAGCTAAAGGAATAGGTAAGAAACACAGGAAGGGGAAGAAGGGGCATTTCCTGAATGCAACTGCTTTTCCTTGGCTTTCCAGTATCTGAGAGTCTTGCTTTCCTGGCAAAYTTACTTGGCATGCTGCTTGTGGCAGACCCAGTCATACAGCTGTGCTCTGARTTTCAGGCCAAGGGTGGGCACCTTCCTCCCCCAGAAGTCATTCCAGAGAGAGAGGAAAACATTGGCAGCAACTTCAAGCACTAGATCTAAGTAATGGTGAAACCTCTCTCCCTACCTATACCTTGCTTTGAGGAGCAGAAAAAACTTGGGGCTTGGGTGTCAGGGCAGGGGGGGTATTCTTTTCAATATGGAGGGGGTAAGAAAATAACAGAGCCTATTTTCCCATCCTGGTCTGAGCCCACACTACAAACACACATTTTTCCACACTGGAGAATAATAATCCCTTTATCCAGCCAGTCTGGAACCTGATAATTGATTGCAGACCTTGGGTGGAAAGTGGGAAGGTGTGGGTAGATGGAAAGTGGGGTGGGAAATGGAAGAAGTAAAGCATGGAGCCAATAAAAAGGAGGGTAGGGGTAGGTGGGATGGCTTAATAAAGCTAAAGAAGCTCAAGACTTCTGACATTCTGCCACTAATACTGCTCCCTAACATTCCAGGGCAGTTTTCCCAGAGGAGCTCTGGAAGAGGAGGATTGCAGTAGTGTGCCAGGCACTAAGTCAGGTTCTGTCCTGGCCCTACCGAGAGCTATAAGAATCTAGGCAAGTGCATAACCTCTGAAGAACAACTTGGCCCTGTCAAGTCCTTCCTGCTCCGAAAGTCATTCCATTCATGCACGTATCTATTGAGCATCATTTGTTCTGGGATGGCTAGGGATGGGGAGTACCTCTTTTATAAAAAACAAATATTTTAAAGCCTGAATATTTAATGTTTTGTAGGCCACATGGTCTTTGTCACATCTAGTCTACTTTGCCACTGTAGCACAAAAGCAGACACAACAATGTATTCATGAATGAGCATTAYTATGTTCCAAACTTTATTTACAAACACTAAAATTTGAATTTCATCTAATTTTACATGTCATGAAATACTATTATTCTTATTTTTTCCCACCAGTAAAAGCAGATGGAGGGCAAGCTTTGGCTGTGGTCTGGAGTTATTAACTTCTGCTCCAGAGATATAGAAGTGAGCACAAGACACTTTGTGGTTCTATAACTACCATGATTAGAGGATTCCTCTAGCTTTGGAGTAACCCAATAAATGTAGGCCCTGCTTCGTTTTATTACACACTGTATAGTCTGGTCTTATGTCCCTTTAAAACCACGATGCCCATACTATAGGGTCCCAACCATCATGGCCCTGGGGGTTGTGCCAGGGTTCCTCATGGATAGAGACTAAAGGTTTGGATTTGGTGTCAGAATGGGGTGGAAGGAGAGGCAGCAGAAAAGGAAATGTATACATGTGTGGTGTATACATGGGAAGGCTACGATAAAACAACAATAACAAAAATATTTCTTCAAATAATTCAGAAAAAAAAATAAGATTTAGATGAGCTTAACCCATTATCTGTTATGTGTTGGGTAAATGGATGACAGAAGTTAATAGAAAGGTAAGAAAAGACAGCAGTACACTATAGGGACTCTATAYAACGTGTAACTGCCCTGCCACCCATTCCAGAACCTAATCTCCAAGATCCCTAGTGTTTTCCTGGAGAAACGCTGAGGAACCAGTCATATAAGTCTTTCTAAGGAAGTCTGTTAGGGGCACCATTACTACTGAGCTCAGTGATAACACTAGGACTCACAGATACAGAGGCAGGTTCTGGAACATCCCCCAGAAGCCTTCTGGACACACTGGAAAATGTCCTCTCTGAAAAGGATGCCAAGTCTGGAGGACCACACAAAGAGAAGCTAGAAGGGTCTTTTGACCATCCTCAAAGGCAACAAGGACCTTTTAAAAACTCAAAAGAGCTCACTGCTATATTTCTAACCTCTGTTAGGGACTCTCTAGCTYACCATTTTCAACAGAAAGTCCTTAGAATCATGAATATAGACTGTGGGAGCTAGAAGAGACCTTCATGTAACAGATGGAGAAATTAAGCCATAGAATGGTTAAGTGGCTTGCCCAAGATTACAATGTTTGCAGTCAGTTACCAGGTCCTACTCTGACTAAATCACAATACCTCAACTATGCACTCACTCCAAGAAAAAGGAAAGAAAGACAACAAACCAAAAGAGTGAACCATCACTATGTGCTTATTATGTTATCCTAGCAATCTTTACAACTACACTGTGAAGTAACTATTATTGTCCCATTATAGCTGAGGAGGTTTGAAGCTCACAACAGCAAAGCAACTTGCTCAGCATCATAGAGCAAGCTAGGAATGAGCTCTGAAGATTGGCAGTCTGATATGAAAGCCTGCCTCCTTGCCTGGACATCAGGCCCTGAGTCCTACACCTCTATCCTGCCTGATGATAACAACAGCTGGGCAGAGGGGAGGTAATGTTATCACCAGCAGTTTCTCCACACCACCTCCTGCTGCTGSTTCACTAGTCCCCAAGAAGGACTGGTTCCTTGCTATACACCATAGCACAAAAGCCCACAACTCCCAAGAAAAGTAAAGAAAAAGAAAAAAAGAAAAAAGAAAAGCCCCCAACTCCCTACTCTCCCTGAAACTGCCTGCCAAGAGAGTCACTGTACCCCAGGTTCCATAAGAAACAATGGTATGAAGTCTTTTCCCTCCCACACACAGAAGGCAGGTCGGAACTTACCAGAGGCAAGACCGTCTCCAAGCAGGGTGCTAAGGATCACCAGTGGAAGGAACACTCCATGACCCACGAAGGCCACGGCAAATGCTGAGGTGCTCTTTGGTGCTATCCTGCCATGGCACATCTTTTATCCGTCCAAGTGTTTTTAAAAGAAAAAATTTAAAATTCCAGAAGAATTCTAATGCCAGTCAGGGAGTAAATTCACCTATAACAAATAAACAAAAAACAAGGACTTGAATAAAGTGAAAATTTCTGCCATTAAGTTAGAAGCAAGCACATACAAATCACATACAAATAATCACATACAATCTAAAAGAATCCTAACCACTGAATCCCTGCTGCCTGAAGAGAACAGTATAAAAGAAGCTTTTCCATTCCTAGAAACACTAAGGCCTGTACACTAACTGTTGTCAACGTCCCATTCTGGAGCCAGATTCTTGTGATAGGGCTAGGAGACAGCTCCAGCTCACCTGGACATCCCTCAGGCACAGTGTGGCTTCCAGACTGCCGGGCCCTGCCCCACCACGAGCCTCTGAGACTCCAGCAGAAAGGCAGCTGTTGACACAGAGAGGCTACACCTGTCAGGCTCTGTCTTTGCCACCTGGACTCAGAACAAGTTCAACTAATCAAAAGGGAAAAGGGGGGGGGGGAGAGAGAGAGAGAGAGAGCGAGCGAGCGCACGCACGCACATCTTCTTAAAGAGAGAAATATACCGCCTAGAGAAGGAATGCAGCAGGAGTAGCCAAGGCCCCACCTGTCTGCTAACCTGCCAGAGGCTGGAGGAACCCCGAGGATCTGACTCGACAGCCATGAATCTCAAAAATGGCTAATTAATCAAGACTCACCTAATACACTTATGACCAGAGAGACCACAGTCTGTTGGCTGTCCTTGAAAGTGATACGGGGTGGAAAATAGGCTATAGTTGCTAATTAGCCTTGCCACCTACTTTGGTTCAGAGACTCCAAAAGAGGAGAAACCAATATCTTTAAAAAATAAAAACAGAGTAAAGACTTTTAATGGTTCTTCCTTCAAGGAAGAAGCTGGGTTGATGATATATTACAATGTGGACCCACTATATTTTAGTTAACTTATTCAATTTCATTCTCCAGCTACTCATATATTCTAGTTTTAATAGGTACTCCAAATAATAAGATTATACTTCCTTTTAAAAAAATCCACATATTTCCTTCTCTAGTAATAAGGCTGTATGTGCATATAAATAAGGGAGCCTGTCATTCACAGCCCTAATAAAGGACACATCTGAGATGCTGTCTGAGCTATGAAGCAGACCTGATCTTAATTCCACACCCAAAGCCTTGACTCAGATCTATGCTCCTTGTAGGGAAGGCAACTATAAACAGTAACATGAGTTCTCTCAGTTCAAGGGAGAACAGTTATCAGCATATTCAAAATAAGCATTAGCCAGGGATTAAGAACAGAGCTGGCCAGGCATGGTGGCACACACCTGTGATCTCATTAGTGAGGGAGGCCAAGACAGGAGGTTCATGAGTTTAAATCCAGTCTCAGCAACTTAGTAAGGCCCTAGGCAACTTAGTGAGACCCCGTTTCAAAATAAAATACAAAAAAGGGCTGGGGATGTGACTCAATGGTTAAGGGCCCCTGGGTTCAATCCCTGGTAACAAAACAAAACAAAACAAAACAAAAATAAAAACAAAAAAAAAAACTGAGCTAGCCACTGGTCCTCCTTCCATTCCTGCTGAAAACTTAACCACAACATTTTCATCTCTTGCTTTTACCCAGACTCCAACTTGATGAGCCTTTAAAGTTATAGACAGGTGGTTAGTGAAGTGATCTGTGGTACAGTCTGTGAGTGACTCAAATAGTACACAAAACTATGCATGTGTAAATGTGTGGAATGTGTGTACATTTATGTAGTTTAGAATGGCAGAATCAGAAGGCTTCGATTCAAATCTGTTTCCTCTACTGTGACCTTGTACCCAAGTCACAGAACCTCAGTTATTCTCAGTTTCCATATCTGGGAATGGGGACTGAAATCATACTGAATTCATAGGGTTGATGTAAGAATTAGGTTCAAAGTGCTTGGTAAAGTGCCTATCCTGTTCTAAGTCCTCAGTAACCCCTGGCTGCTGTTTTATTACATCACCAACAAGATGGGAGTGGCAAGGAAGTTTGAGCTCACCAAGCCCACCTTCTTATTGACAGATGTCCAAACCAAAGTCCAAAGATGTTAAAGATGTGCCTAGGGCTCCAACTGGCTAGTGACAGGTTGGCAATGTGCCCCACCGTGTTGCCTTTTCAGATGCAGTCACACTAGGTAATCCTATGAGACAGTCATCATCTCCTCAAGGTAACAATCTGTGGATCATCAAGAATGCTATCTTTCCGTGCCATGTCACGTCACAGCACATATTTAAGGGTTGAGTGGATGAACATGTACAAGGTGGTGGTTGAGTGTTCGGTGCACAAGTAAAGACTACTCAGAGGAGGGGATACTGAATCTACAAGTGTAGGATATGTCTAGTAGGGRAAAAAAGGTGAAAAGAGGAGGTGGGATCAAAAACAAGTGGATCAGGTGAGCACGTGGTTCCATGTGACCTCTAGGTGTGGGTTTCCCATAAGTGCTAGTTCCCAGGCCACAGAGGCTGTGTTTGTGCCACATTTTAAAGTTTCGTTTCCGTCATTACAAGTTCCTCCTCCTGTGGCCTTTTCCCCAGTCAACTCTTCTTTCTAGCAACAGCACCAGCCATGGACCCCATACTCGGATAAGGCCACTCGGAGAACTTTGAAAGGGGGAGCTGCCACCCCCAAGGTTTCAGAGAAAGGTACAAGGGTCACCCTGACAGAGCCCTACGAGTGTCCTCTACTCCCCAGGCCGCCCAGCCCAACGCGGCAAAGAGCAGCTCATTCCGGGGAGTCGCAGTGCTTACAGACCAAGAGCACTGCAGGAACCTGTGCCCAGAGCCCTCCAAAAAGGCGTCTCTGCATGAAAGGTGCACCACCCCCAGGCTTTAGTAGAGCCAAGCTGAGGGAGCCSAGAGGGTTCTAGCTGAGACACTGGAGTCTCCTGCAGCCCGGGGTCCGCCCTCTCCCAGGGCAGGATCTTGCAGCTAGGGAGGCGCAATCTTCTTCCCCAACAGAGACCCCCCCACCCCCCACCCCCYGCCTGAACCCACAGAAGTGTCTTGTTCCTGCACACCGGTCTGYGCCCCAAGTCTGGGCAGGAGGAGGTGCTGTGCAGCTGGAAGCCCCAGGTTGTGCTGGAGAAGTTGAGGCTCAGGCACAAGGAAATCTCAGTGGCGGTCATGTCAGAACAAGGTCAGAGGCCACCTACTTCAGAGATTGCAAAAAACTGTGATTCTGAGTTCAAAAGTGTCATCCTGTTGGGGACCGGGAGCTACTACAAGCAGGTGAAGATTTCTGTACCTAATGAATTTGATGTCATGTTTAAACTGGAAGTTCCCAGAATTCAGCTAGAAGAATATTGTAACAGTGGTGCTCACTGCTTTGTGAAGTTCAAAAGAAATCCCAAAGGAAATTCTCTGAAGCAGTTTTAGAAGAGGAAATATTATCAGCTTCTAAGATGCTGTCAAAGTTTAGGAAAATCATTAAAGACGAAATTTTTTTAAAAACATTGAAGATATAGATGTCACTGTGGAGAGGAAAAGACAATGGAGCCCTGCTATAAGACTTCTTATTAAGAACCTGAAGAAATATCTGTGGATATAATTCTCACTTTGGAATCAAAAAGTAACTGGCCCGCTAGCACCCAAAAAGGTCTGCCCATCAATAACTGGCTTGGAGCAAGAGTTAGGAGCAAATTAAGAGCCATTTTACCTGATACTCACGCATGTAAAAAAAGAAAATGGTTTTCAAGAAGAGACATGGCAGCTATCCTTCTCTCATATTGAAAAGGATATTTTGAAAAACCATGAGCAAACTAAAATATGTTATGAAACTAATGGAATGAAATGTTGCAGGAAAGATTGTTTAAAACTAATGAAATTCCTTTTGGAACAGCTGAAAAAAAAGAAAGCCTGAACACTAAAAAGAACTGGATAAATTCTGTTMTTCTCATGTGAAAACTGCCTTCCTACATGTATATACCCAGAACCCACAGGGCAGTCAGTGGCACCTCAAAGACCTAGTACTCTGCTTTGATAACTGTGTGACATTCTTTTTTGAGTGTCTCAGGACAGAACAACTTGAGCAWTATTTTATTCCTGTATTTATTCTCTCCAAATCATATTGACAAAAGAAGTAAAGAATTTCTGTTAAAGCAAATCAAATATGAAAGAAATAATGGATTTCCAATTTTTAATGAATTTTGAACTATTATTTTAAGAAAAAAATCAAGAATTAAAGTGACTGGAGTAATTAGGGATCATCACAGGAATGACTGACCACAATGAATGTAAATAACTATTCAGTTCTCAGTTTGTCATAACCCTAATATAAAGGATTATAGATAAAGTGTGAAGGATTGACAATCCTAAAAAAGAGATTTGATTAAAAAATGGGTAAAATCTAAAAACTTTACCAAGCCAGGAACTGTGGTTCATACCTATAATTCCAGTTACTTGGGTGACTGAGGCAGGAGGAGCCCAGGAGTTCAGTGCCAGCTGGGAGATCCTGTCTCAAATTTTAAAAAAATAAATAATAGAGGCTGGGGATGTGGCTCAAGCAGTAGCACGCTCACCTGGCATGCGTGCGGCCCGGGTTCGATCCTCAGCACCACATACAAACAAAGATGTTGTGTCTGCCGAAAACTAAAAAAAATAAGTAAATAAAAATATTTTAAAATAAATAAATAAATAAATAATAAAATTAAATTAAGAAATAAAAACTTTACCAGATTAGAAAGTGGGAAAAGGATAAAATGCATATCCTCCACAATTAAATTCATTAAGCACTTATTGAATACCAGTTCTCACCTAGCACAGGTATGTGGAAGGCTGTGAGAGACAATAGTAGAAATGATCACTGCTTCCATAAAAGTGGTAAGCTTAAAAATATATTTGGGGAGGCTGAGACTGTGGCTCAGCAGTAATGCACTTGCCTGGCATGTGTGAGCCACTAGGTTCGATTCTCAGCACCTCATATAAATAAATAAAATAAAGGTCTATCAACAACTAAAAAAAATATTAATATATGTATGTATTTGGGGCAGCGGTGCATACCTATAATCCCAGCAGCTCAGGACCCTGAGGCAGGAGGATTAMGAG